ATAAATGCAATGGAATAAATAGAAAAAGTATACATATAAAATAATAATGTACTCTATTATATTATATAATACACATATTAATAAGTAATTTGTAGAAAAAATGTAGAAAGATGATAAAATAACATTAAAGAAATTCAAAAAAGAGTTATAATACAATTTAAAAAAAATTAACTTACATGTACAAGTAATATTTTTATTTTAATACACATGTATATTAAGAATTACTATTTTTAAATCATTATCTATATTAATATGGTACACAATTACAGATATACATTTTTAAAATTTTATTATCTTTTAAGTTACGCTTGATATAATATAATTGTCTTAAAAAAGTCTGCATGTAGTTATAACAATGAAATGCAATTAAATCTTCAGCAGCACAGAAACTTTTTTTTCTCGTTTCTCTTATTTATTATTGTTCCATATGTAATTTGTACTGTCAACGTCCACCATTTTGAACAATGCGGGCGTTGTCCCATTTTTAGAGGGTTGGTCTACCATAAGTCCGGTATCCAGTCCCTAGACACCCTTCGCAGTGTGACATTTATTTAACAAGCTAACGGTGTTAGGTTGTTAGATCGAATTAGGGGATCCCTCGATGTGAATTCAAGGACCAAACGACCAATAGGATTTATTATTATTGGTAGCGCGTCTGAATATCAGCTGCAACGATTTCTCACGACTACTAACGGACTTCATTATGTCATGACGCAAGTAAAAAATATTACATCTTTTGCATTTTTTTTAATAAAAGAATTAAGTTGTCATTTTTTAACGTCTTTGAATTGTACTCAATCTTTAAATAAGTATAATTCGACAAATACAATTTGCGTATTTTCCATAGAAATTAATGTTTAAGATGTCAAATCGATAAGATTATTCCTTAACGACTTTTTAATTAATTTTTAATCAAAATTCATATTGCATTCTCATGAATTCAAATTTGACAAATCTACATCTATACTTAATAAATTTATGTTATTACACGTATATTTATGTATTACTACACTATACCTTACATTATTAACACTGAAATATATACATGAAGAAATAAATCAAATGCCACTAATTTGCTATCTAACAGCATTAAAATGACTGAAGTAAGTTCTAATTTATTTAGCTGAAATGCTCGACGTCATGCATATATTTATCGACGAATACTTAATAGAATGTATTATTGATCAGTATTAATAGAAAAGAACTGAGGTTTGAAAATGGATAAAAAAAAATTAATGTTTAATATCTAGGCCGCAAGTAATATGCGTCGCGTCGGCACAGAATGTCATTATCATTTAATTTTTGCTTTCGACAAAACATTCCTCGTAGTCGTTAACATCACAAATCGATGGCTTCTCATTGTTTACTATGAAGCGTGAAATTTAAATGTCTCTCTAATCGATAGTCGCCCGATATCTGATCATTATTTTTACCAAGCCGCGGGCGTTCCGAGACTGGTACCACGTTTGCTTCGAAAAAAAGTCGGATTTTTATTATTTTAATGAACATTTCTATGTGCGCGTGTCGGTTACGCTACAGAGAACGCGTGGGTTCCACAAGAATGATATTCACCTTCTGATTATTATCACGACCGTTTGAGAACGGTAGAAAGACCGCCGTTCGTTAAGAGAAATTTGGTCTTAAAATGGTCAAATATTATCCAAGTTAGTTCTGGAAAATACGTAACATTTCAATGCAATAAGAAAAGAAATTTTTCTTGAAAAAAACCGAAATACAATTTATTTAAACAAGATTACATGTAATAACACAAAAATAATATTAAAAAAATCAGAGTAAAAAATAATAGTTAAAATAATAGTTATAATAATGATGATTTATAAATATGTGTGCAAGATAATGCAATTTCTTATTATCTAAGACTACAATTAATTAAAATTAGTAGATAATCTAAATACACTT